CTTTCTTCATAGTCTCGGAATTTCCTCCTGGCTGTTGCCTCATCTTCTCTGTTCATTCATCCTCTACTTCCTCCCCCCGCACCTTGGCCCTTCCCGGCTCCTCCTGTTCAGTTCTGCTTAAGAACCCCTGATAAGGTGGGGGCCAGAGTAGGCCCTCTGTCCCCTCAGGGTGTGAACTTCTCAGTTCTGGACAAGCAGAATGTCTCCCTGTTGCTGCTCTCGAGTGGGGAGGGTCGGGGCCCAGACCCTCAGACATCAAAGGGTCAGAGTGGGTAAGAAGTTCTGGGTGTCCTCAGAGCTTGTGCTGCTGAGTGTCAAGAGGCTTCTGTCTCCCGACCTCTCTGTGTCTCCTTCACACTTCCCTTTGTCTGTTTCTTCCTCTCCCACGACCTCCCTGACACCCTGTCCTCCCTCTGACATCTGAAGAATGACCTTGGTGCTTGAGAACTGCCCTCACTGTGGCTGGAGGGAGAGGCCGGAAGGAATGTCGTGCCCCTGAATTAGCCTCCTATGGTCCTAGGACTCCAGTTCCATCTCCCCACTTCTGCTCCCCTCTCTCTTCCCCGCTTCTGTGGTGGGAGTGATGGAGGTGGGGAGATGCTGGCCCTCTGCCTGAAACCTCTGGCCTGCTGAGCTGGGGAGGCCACACTGGTCCGATGCCCTATCTCCCCGGGGCTGAGTGAGGAGCATGTCTAAGCTGGGACTGAACCGTCTCCTCAGCCAGCCCGGTCTCGGGCAGGGGCTGGATCTGGGTTTGGAGAAGGGCATCTGTCCCAGAGTTAGGAAATCCAGCTGTCCAGGCCCACGGGTCACCCCACACCTCACCACGCCCACTCTGAAAGCCTTGCAGCGGCCCCATCTCCCAGCAAGGACAGCAAAACCCTGAGCCATGTGGCCCCTCTGAAGAGCCCTGCTTCAGTCCAACTCCAGCTGTAGCCAAGGACTTGATTTCAAGCTCCTACCTGTGGACCAGGGCTCACTAAGTAGCCTTGCGATCTGACTGCACCTGGGCCTCACCAAGCACCCTCTGCTCTGACTGGGGACTAGGGACTCCCCAGAGACCGTCTGCACTGGCAGTGCGTGGGGCTCACAAGAGCTTTGTGCCCAGACTCACCAACTGTCTTCTGCTCTGCATCCAGTCCCAGCCCCTCACCTGGATTCTGATTGGCATATACTCAAGAGGGTGCCACTTGCCCCACCCTCTCCAACAGGGGATAATGCTACCCTAGTGGCTACTCACTAGTGTCCCTTTCGGATGAGTGATGCAGGAGGGCTCAAGTTCATGTCAGATGACCAGGAAATGACCCAAGTGTTCAAGCCCTCTGCCTCCCGGGGAAAAGATGAGGGGTGGGCAGGGGAGCTAGCAACTGCAGGTCAGTCTCGCAGGGACAGGATGAAACCAGAACTCCTCTCCCACCCCTGGGTCAGGCCATGTTGGCCTGAGGGGTTTTAGGAGGCTCTGGTCAGCCTCAAGGAGATGGGACAGAATCTGAATGTCCCTCTCTCCCCTGGGGCAGGCCCTGTTGGCCTGAAAGGTTATGGGAGCCTCTGACTGGCAGACCTCTGATGTGGGTTGGTGGTCATGTACTAACATTCCCCTTGTCCCTACCCCCTAACAGAGAGTTGAAGAAGAAGCCAAACAGCCCATGGACCAGGGGAGGTGCTTCCACAGTGTGTCGACTCCAGGCCACAGGAAGGTTCACAGTTTCCACATCAGAATTGCCTCATGCTGGGCATCTGGAACTGGTGCCCTGCCATCCAAGCTCTGGGTCTTGGGGGAGCTTGGTGTTAGGGGCAGCATAAGAGACCTTGCCAAGAGTGGGTGGGAAGCTGATCTCTCATGTCCTTATACCCCACACATCCTCCCACTTGGTGACACAGGACTCCCCCTGTGCTCTGCAGCCAGAGCTTGGAGGAAGGGAAACTGTGTGAGAGTCTGCCGTGCCTGGCCTCCACCGTGGCTGGCTCAGCGGCACAGCTTAGCTGGGACCATTTCTACGTCCTCCCCAGGCCTCTGGGTCTCTCCCAGGAGGACTCCAACCTGTTCTTCCAACCCCCACAAAGACGCACCAGTTGGTCCTGAACTTGGAGGGGGCTGGACATGAGACCCATGGTCCCCAGCACCCAGGTGAAGGACCTGTCATGAGGCCATGCAGACATGCTTTGGGGGGACGGATGGTCAACATGCCCATCTTTTATGTTCTTCCTCTGTCTTCACTCCATCCAGGCAGCTGCAGGCTATTTTTTCTGGAGTCCTGCCTGAATCTGGGAGAGGAGGGAACCAAGCAGGATGCTTCTGGACTCTCTTTTAGCCACTGCATTTACCCTTCTGTGTGCTGCCCGCCCCCCACCCCCCAGGACAATCCATTGTCTGTTTCTAGCTGTCTCTGAGAGAGGAGACATGTCTTCCCTCCGGTTTCCCTGTATACTTGGGAAGTCCCTTCTGAAGTCCAACCTTCCTCTCTCTTGCTACTTTTTAAATTTTATTTTATTTTATTTTGGGTTGGAATCGCAGTCCGTCACCAGGCTGGAGTGAGTGACACACTCACGGCTACCCCAGCGTCGACCCACTGGGCTCTGGCAATCCTTCCACCTCAGCCTTTCAAGTAGCCAGAACTACAGGTGCGCACTACTGTGCCTGGCTAATTTTTGATTTATTGTAGAGACAAGGTGTCACCAAGTTGCCCGGGCTGGTCCCAAACCCGTGGGCTCAGGCAATCCACTCGCCTCAGCCTCCCAAAGTGCTGAGATTACAGGCTGAGCCACAGTGCATGACCTTTTGCTACGTTTTTAAGTCTACTTCTTTTCTAGGGCGTGGCTGGCAGGAGAGCTTGTGCCCCAGCATCTCTGTATCCTCCCCCAGGGAACTTCTGGGTCAGCCACCACCTACTCATCTTTGGAGGTGGAGCCAGACAGCATCTTTCTGAAGCTCTTTCCTGCGACTGCCAACCCCTTCCTTGAGCTCCTCCACGTCTGGGTGACTGGCAGCTCCTGAGCAATTGTGAGGATCCGCCAGGGAAAGCTAAGGGGTGTGGGTGGTATGGAGAGGAGTTGACCCCATGGCTGCCCTCCAGGCATGTGCGAGTGCAGGTGTGCCTGTGTGTGCTGTGTGTGTGTACAGGTCTCAGATCCAGGGCCCGCGTGACATCTCTTGGCCCCTCCACTCTCCCAGAGGCCTTTCCAGACCAGCCTCAAAAGGGTAGCTGTGGTTCTGCTGGCAACCATTAGGGGTCACTGTTGCTTCAGTCACCAATGCCAGCCGGGGAAGGGGAGGGATGTGGCTCCACACAGGTGGCCCTTGCCGCCTACCCTGTCGGGTTAACGACAGGGTAGTTGCTGTGACAGAGACACCTCATGCAGACTCACACCGGCTCCACTCAGGCCCCACCTGAAGGAGCTGTGGTTTGCAAGACAGTTGCTGGCATGAGTAAGTACAGGTGCTCAGAGAAGCACATTTCATGACCCAGAGTGGGTGGCAGTAGGTGGTGGCGTGGGAGCTATGGCTCTGAGCACCCGGATGCAGGAGAGTAAGAAGCCCTAAGCTATGGCCAGCCCCTTCCGTTGCCACTCCCTCTGCTAAGGCTTGAAGTCATCCTTCTGCAACTCTTCCCTTTCAGGTACCCTCATGGCACTGGCTTAAGTACCTGGTGACAGGCTCTCTGGTGCAACTCCCACATACCTCAAAGGCATCTCTGCTCGTGGGATGGAAGCTGAGACTCCGCCTCCCAGAATAACCACAGGGTGCCAGACACACAGACCCTGCTCTGGTGTGTGTCCCCTGCCTTGGGTGGGGCATCTGGCACCAACAGGTGATGTCATCGGGGCCCCTCCCCCCATCCTTTGTCTGCCCACTTAAAGTCTGTCCTGTGACACTCCAGGAAATGCCCGCTCAATGGACAGACATAGCACGGGACGAATTAAAGATGAAGCAAGGGGACTGGTTGGTGCTGCTTGGAGACCAGATACAAAGATTTCCTGCTGGGCTCAACCACTTCTGGCCCTGAGCTGAGATAATAGCAAGATTGTCTGGTTGCACTGCCATGGCAACCCTGGCTGCTCGGGTCCTCATGGAGGTGGTGTTTGACAGCAGTATATTCAGCCTGCATCACCGCCTTAGGGTCACCACCTCAAGTCCCAAAGGAAGGAGAGAGGAAGTTCATCTAGTGTGAACACCATATAGATGGAGGATAATGGGCTGTCTGGGACCAGGGTACAAACAGACTTCGGCCTTTATTGTGCCTTCTCCAGGCTTCCCAAGAGAGGCAGGGGGTGGGGTGGGGCGGGTGCGGGGAGGGAGGAAGACAAGGCTCTTAAAGCCTTAATCATCAAGGCTAATCATTGAAGGGAAGGGACTAGAAAGGGCAAACGTGCACCAGGGATGCCCCTGGAGAAGAGGAGGAGCACCAAGCTTGGGGGTCCCTGGGTGAGGCAAGAGGAAGGGAAGGGTGAGGAAGGCCAGGGTGGCACCACTCACTCAGGTCCCTGGGTTCTCCCCACGCTGCCTGATCATGGGGCAGAGGGGCGGAGGTGAAACCAGTGACAAGAGGAGTGGTCACACAGACACCCATCCCCAGCATCCCCAATATGGACGGAGAGGGCTCCCGGCCTGCTGCTGGCTGCCCATCTGGTTTTGAGCGTGTTGATGGCTCCACATGTCCACAGGAGACCCAAAGCCAAGGGCGGAGTTCTGTAGACCTTGCCTCCAGGGCAGGCGGGTCCTCTGCTCCTAGTCTGAGGGCAGGATGTCTGCCTGTGGCCCTCCTGTTGTGACCCTGCTTGCTTTCCCATGGAGAACTCAAACTGCCGAGAAACTCTTCCCTGAAGCGAGACTGCTCTGATGGCCTCGGTTTTTTCTGCTCCTGCTCTCTGCCCCACCCTCGGCCACCCCCTGCCCTGTTTGGGGGGTGGAGGGTGAACATCTAGACATCTCACAGCTACAGAGGTTAGATCCCTTCCTCTCTGTCCATGGGAGGCCAGTCAGCCAGGGAATGGGGTACCCCTCAGTGCCCTGGACCCCCGTTTTGAGGGCTGCAGACTGAGGAAGCCCTTCTTGGAGTTGGTGAGGCATCGGGCTCTGCCTCAGGGGGTGGCAGGGAGCCCCGGCCCCCCCGACGCTCTGGGCTGCAGTAGAAGGAAAGAAGGCGGAAGGAAGGCCGCAGCTCCCCCCGTATGCTGTCCAGGATGTGGGTGAACGTTGGGCGCAGGCGCGGATTCTGCTGCCAGCAGCGGCTCATCAGTTCCTGCCTGGCGGGGGTGGGAAGCAGGGTCAGAGAGGTCTAGGAGCCCAGCCACACCCCAGCCTCCTGCACTGGGAGGGACAGTGGAGGTCGCAGGGCATAGTGTCTGTGAGGGCGAAAGAAGAGCAAATGGGAGTTGTATGTAGTGGGTTTAGAACTGGGAGGTCATAGCTGGGATCCGTGGATGTCAAAGCATCAACGGAGAAGGGCCAGGATCATGGGGGCCGGGGATCTAGGCAGAGCAAGGATGAGGAAGGGGAGGCCGGGTGACTCACAGCTGAGGAGGACAGCCCTCCAGCTCCTCCAGGATACCGCCATCCATGACAAACTTGAGCACCTGCTCGTTGGACAGGCCCTGGTAGGGCTGTTCAGCCAGGGTTGCAATCTCCCAGAGCACCACGCCGAAGGACCTGGAGGGCACACGGAGGGTCTGAGCCTAGCACCCTTCACTCTGCTGAGTGCACCCCGAGGGAGGGGAGTGTCCCAGGCCCCTCCCCAGACCCCGCCTCCACATTGCCAGAGCCCTCTGCTGGAGCTGGGCCCCACCAGACATCCGAGTGGGTGGTGAAGATTCCGTCTTTGAGGGACTCGGGGGCCATCCAGCGCACAGGCAGTAGCCCCTTCCCGCCCTTTCGGTAATAGTCTGTCTCGTACACGTCCCGGGTCATCCCAAAGTCTGGAAAGCGAAGGAGAGGGCGGAGGAGGGGTGGGCAAAAGAGCCACACGTGAGCTCCTGCCCCAGGGACTCCTCCCATCCTCTCCTCCTCCAGAGTCTCCAAGAACCCCGGAATGGAAGGACCCGAAGGACCTCAGAGGACATCCCACCCACATCCCTCATCCCTCAATGCGACTGATTGAGATCCAGGGTGGGGGTGACCTGCCAGAGTTCTCACCCCTGTCAGGACCAGAGCTTTGGGCCAGGCCCAGGTCTCCCGACACCTCACTTAGAGGAATCTCTACTCTTTGGGCTGCCCTCATCTGCCCGGTGCCTTCTTACCCCCAATCTTGACAGTGAAGTCCTGGGACACCATGCAGTTTCGGGCTGCCAGGTCTCGGTGCACAAACTTGTTGGCGGCAAGGTAGGCCATGCCATCTGCAATTTCGCCAGCCATCTGGATCATATCCCCCAGTGCTGGCCGTGGGAGCCCAGGGTTGTTCTAGAGCCAAGATTGGGGGCCCATGAAGAAGGAACCTAGAGGCTGTTCTCCTGCCCAGGACTGCCTTCTCCCCCCACATTGTGCCCATGTGTTCTCTAACTCTCCAGTCCCTTGGACCGGGGTCTTCCTGGTCCCCACCTCTGCCTCAGGCCGCAAAGATCGAAGATGGCTCTTGAGGTCTCCACGGGTCATTAATTCCATGATGACCAGAGTTGGCTGGCCCTGAGACACCACACCCAGGAGACGAACCTGGGACAAAGAGTCTGGTCACAGGTCTATCTAGCTGCCCTTGACCTACCTGGCCAAAAGCTTGATGTGTTATGACCACAATCTGACCCAGACACTAACCCTGACCCTAACTCTAACCATGAGTGTAACCTGAATCCTGACCTAACAATGACCCTGACCTTGACCCAAGACCGTCATCCTATATGAGTATCATTATAATCATGAACTTGGCCCAACTTTGATCTTGGTCCCAATCATGACTCTAAACTGGACACTCAATATTGACCCTCAACCATGACTAATCTCAGCCCTAGCCATGACTCTACCATGACCCTGTTTGACTCTAACCCCAACCATGACCTTTACCCCAATTAGGATCTTAACCTTGGTCCCAGTTCTGACCTTGATGGTGCCCTAACCTCATCTCTGACCCTTTTCTTCTAATCACACGGCCTTTACCCTAATTATCACCGGCCAATGCCCCGGCTCTCCCTTACCACATGGTGACACTTGAATGCCTTCATGACAGAAGCTTCTTTGAGGAACTCAATGCGTTCCCGTGGGCTGGCCAGCTCATTCACTGTCTTCAGGGCCACAGGCGTGGACTCCTCTCCAGCCTCAAGTCCTCGTGCCAGCCCCTCATATACCATCCCGAAAGAGCCCTGGCCCAGTTCCCGGATTATGGAGATCTGCTCCCGAGGCACCTCCCACTCATCGGGGATGTACACTACGTACGAGGGGACGGGGTCACAGGCAGGGACGCAGCTCTCTGCCATCTCCGCCCATGTCTCCCTCAGCTTCTGAAAGCTCTCATCCCCAGACTGCCTTCTGCAAGATGGTCTCCTAGAAGTCTTGTCTCTTCCTCTGCTGTCTCCCTTTCCCACACCACCTGTCCACCCACTCCCAGACCTACTGTCAGAGGCGCTGAAGTATTCCGGATTCACAGAAGCATACAGGGTGCTGTTTCTGCAATGGGAGGTGAGGGGGTCAGGCTGGGAGGGTCCTCAGGCAGAGGACAGGAATGTCAGAGGACAGGAAGAGGGATATTTCAAGGAAGAGGGAAGTTGCCGACCACACCCCCAGCCCTAGTCAGAGTGACCCCCTGGGGAGCCCTAAGCACTTTCCAAGCTGGTCTTGGTCCTATTCTTGGGATCTGGCAGGGAGTAGGGGGACACAGGAGGGGCTTCTGCCCCCTCAGCTAGTCCCTAGAGCCCAGCTACCCAGGGTCCTGCCCCCTGTTTCCTCCTCGCAGTCAGTCCCAGAGGGATCTGACCTCAGGCATTCTGGGACCACCCCGAGGTCTCCCGTCTCTCCCCTGCTATGACAGGATGAGTTTTATTATTCCTCAGCTTGGGCTGGGAGTGTGGTGACCAAAAGTTCTACTGTTCCCAGACTGAGAAGGTTCCCAGGATGTGAGACTTTTCCTGCTAAAACTGGAAAAGTCATAGGCTAAGTGGGCTGAATGGGTCACTCTCGCTGAGAGATGGGTCTCCTCCATGCCATCCCAGGGGAAGAGTGGCTGCCTCTGTGGAAGTCCTCTCTGCCGTCTCATCTGCCACCCTCCACCGGCACTGGCCATATGATGAGGGCTCAGGGAGAGGGGGGTCTGGGAACCATGGGACTTATCCTCACCTCTTCTTGCCATAGAAGAAACCGAGGGCAGCAAGAATGATGAGCAGCATGAGTGCCACGGGGGTGGCAGTGAGGAGGACATGCAGCCCTCCAGTGTCCTCCTCCTCTGGTGGCCGGAGGGCAGCAGAGGGCAGGGTCAAAGACGGAGGAGTCAGAGGGGAGGCAATGCTTCTTTTCCCATGCTTGGAGGGGAGGATGGGGAAGTGATGGGGCAGAGGGGTCTGTGGTGGGCTGGGGACCAGCAGGAGCTATTTGGTGATATGTGTCTGGGACATGGGCTGCGTATACCTGGGCCGGGGATGTAGAAGGCAACACTGTCTGTCCAGGAGCCATTGCCAGCCAGTGAGGTTGCCCGAACCCTGGCAGAATAGTTTCCAGGAGGCAGCAGGGCCAGGTGGACCCCCCCAAACTTGGCATATCGAAGACGGGACACACACAGCACTGTGGCCTCCTGAGGGTAACACAGAACAGCTAACTGGGGAGGGGATGGAGGTACGCAGCAGGGTTGGATGGGCATCTTCTGGGTACCTACCTCTCCCAAGCGGCGGTACTTGATTTCATACTTCAGGATGAGCCCGTTGGGGTCTGAGGGTTCAAGCCAGCGCAGGAGGACGCTGCTCTTGCTGGCTGCCTCCCAGGCCACCTTTCCTGGAATACCATCGGCCTCTCCTGCGGGAGTGGGCATCGGCAGCCAAGCCACAAGTAGTTCCTCTCACCTTATGTTCGAACCCAAGCCAAACTAGGCGGAACCGGGAGGTCTGGGGAAGCCCTGGGATTATGGGAACTGGGCGTGGCGAGCAAAGCCAGGCTCTGTGGTCAGCGGGAGATGGAGCCCGCTGGTCGGAGCTCTGATTGCACAGAGCCCTTGGGGTCGGTGGTGGGGTCAGAAGGCGCTGTGGGGTCACCTACTGTGGGGCATGGTGCGCGCAAAGACGAAGGTGGCGGCGCTGCAGCCCACGGTGTGCGCCGCGTGGTTGCAGGCATGGATGTCGATCCGGTATTCCGTGAAGTGGCGCAGGCCGCTCAGCACCGCTCGCTCCCGGGGCACCTTGTCCTCCCGGATCTCGAAATCCGAGCTGTTGCCCCCTAGCCGGAGGGGGCCGGCGGCCCTGCGGTGCCGCCCTGAGTCCCTGGGGAGGCGTGGGTCAGAGCCCGGGCCCAACCCTGGAGCCACGCCCCTCAGGCCCCGGCCCCGCCTCCGCTCACCTTTGGGGGCTCTTGTTGATGGATGTCACCTTCCAAGGGGATCTGGGGAGGCCAGGGGAGCCCTATCAGGCCCGCCCGGAACGCACCCCTTGCCCTCTGCGGCCGCGCACCGCCTCCAACTCCGCCCACAACCCAGGCCCCACCCACACAAGCGTGAGCCCCGCCCACAGACCCCCACCCGTCAGGCCCACCCCGCCCGTCAGGCCCACCCCGCCCAGGCCCCACCCGTCGGGCCCGCCTAGGCCGCGTGCGCTTCCGCGCACTTGGGGATGGTGATGGCGTTGTGTAGAAAGTTTTCAAACTTCTTCTGGAACGAGGCCTCTTGAGCCTCCAGCGGGGGCAGGACGCGCCCAGGAGGCGGGTGCTGGCAAGGGCAGCACCCGGACTCCATCGCGGCCTCGAGGTCCTCGTCTTCGTGGTCGAAGCGGGGGTCACTGCTGCTCGTGGGCAGCCGCAAGCCTGGCGCCGCCGCGGGGGAGACGGTGGTGAGACAAGCGGTCTACCCGCCCCCGCTTGCCCCGGCGGCCCTGGCCCGGCGCTGCATCCACCCTCCCCTTGCCCCGCCCGCCTCCCCGCCGGCCTGCGCCTCCTCCCTGCGCACCGCGGTGGCAGTAGTCGTTGAGGTAGAGGTCGCCGTCCTCCGCCAGCCGCTGCCACAGCACCAGGTAGTAGGTGATGTTTCCGTTGCGCTGCGTCGGCGGCTTCCAGCGAACCAGGAGGTGGGAAGAAGAGTTGGACGTGGAGATGACGTCTTGGGGCACCGTGGGCGCTGGGGGTGTGAGGAGGGCACAGCTCAGGGGTTGAGGGTTCCCCTTCTGACCGTCTGCTACGAGCCTTCCTCCCTGGGGCTCAAGGCCCATCCCTTCTTCCGAGGAACTTGTGACCCTCAGCCCCTCCTTCCAGGAACTCAAAGTTCTGTCCTTCCCTTCTCCATGGGCTCTTAGTTCACCCTGCACTGGCTCAATCCCAGCCCCCAGACCTAGGCGACCGCCCCCATTCTTTCCAGGACTCACGTGGTCCTAGAAAGGGTGGGCCGGGTGTTCAGCGCCCCAGCCTTTCTACCTTAGTGCCTGGGGTCCCCCTTTCTCCTAGAATGCAGGGTTCCGACTCGCGCTGCAGCCTACCTGCAGGCAGGGTTCGGAGGTAGACGATGGGGCTCTGGGCTCCCTGATGGGGGCTGTCCTCGGCAGTGGTCAGCGTGATGGCCCGCACAAACACTGCGTACTGCGTCCAGGGCTTGAGGGAGGCTAGGGTCACCCCCGGCTCCTGGGTTCGGCTCAGGGGCAGCTCCACATCCAGCAGGTTCCAGCTCTGGGTTCCACAGGCATCAGGACCCACATGCTCTGTGGCATTCTGAAATGGGCTGAACACCCCATCCCCAGAGCTGAGGGGTGGTTCAGCTCCACCTCTGAGTTCTAGCAACATTCCCGGCCCTGAATCACCCCAGGACTGCCATTGTCATTCTTCTTCCAGTATGTATGAGGGCAGAGCCATGACTCCAGCCACCTGTTAGACCCTGTGGGCCCTGTGGTATCTGTCACCAGCCAAATTTGTGATGACATATCTCTTCATTCTTAGCAGGCAATATTGAGCATTATTTTCAATGATTATTCAAAAAAAAATATTGCAGGCCGGGCACCGTGGCTCACACCTGTAACCCCAGCACTTTGGGAAGCTGAGGAGAGAGGATGACTTGAGGCCAGGAGTCTGAGATCAGCCTGGGCAATATAGTGAGACCCTATCTCTACAAAA